CGCAGAGCCAGTAAGGCTATCTTGGAAAACATGCATCAAGAGTTTTTCATCATGAGCATGAGCTGCCATCTTTCTACAATACATGATGATGTGGGTTTTGGGGCACTTTGTACCGTCATATTTTTTAAATTTTGATACTTTGAACTTATAGGGGATAACCACATCAGGAACTAGGCAGAGCCCAGCAGCATCAACTGACCCATAAAAGCTAAATCCTTCCACAGCCCGTAGCCTCTGCTCTAGCATGCTAATTTTGGAGCTTTCCTCAGCTTCCACCCTTATCTTTTCCTTCTCCTTCTCTTCTAGATCAGGAATTGGTTCTGCTTCTTTTTCAGTGAAGACATGATTTATATAGCTATTATACTACCCTGGGTTGAAAGTTGATGGCATTCCAGGACATGTTGGATATGCAAAATGTTGTGGTGGGACCTCTTGGGTAGATTGGGCTTGAGGTGGGCCAAAACTTGGAGGGTACAAAAGGTCAGCCACTTCTTGCTGGCTTGTACTTTCTTCAACTCCTTTTCCTTTATTCATGTTATTAAGGGCCTCCAAAATCTTGCTTAGTTCACTTTCAATCTTCTCCTGAGCTTTTTCTAGCTTTTCAAATCTATAAGAACTTTCTTCTTCCATTTGCCTTGCTCTGGATCTTATGTTGTATGGATGAGCAGGGTTTTCGCTAGATGAAGCTATCCTCGGACCTTGAGTACCATACTTATGATTAGAATGTTATGCTGTGCCTTATGTATGATGCTTTGATACACAAATGAAATGTACATTTTTTTGAAGAAAATCTAGTATGAAATGAATACAAATGATTGTGTTAAAATATGATCATAAAAATAATGCAAATGCATACAATCAGACAAATAGCATAGTTAGTTCCATGGATGAAATGAAAGTGATGCTGGTGCATAATGTTACATATGATAAAAATAATACACAAAGTTAAACAATCAAAATGATTAGACAAACACCTTTTTTGTGTCCTAATTTCAGGGTATATCTATCATTGGGTAGAAAGGGCTCTATCCTAGGTTTAGGCACTTCTAAGGTTCACTATATGTGGTTCAAGGTTAAAATCTAAAGGTTCTCAAATTACTCATTACATCTTTGTCCATCACAGACTAGTAAGGCACCCTAATACTCACCCATTACAGGCTACAAGTGGAAAAGGTTCAATTTGAGTGGGAGTATTTCGCTAGCCACTGCGGAAGCATTAGACCTTACGAAAGCAATAGGTACTTTACTCCCTCCTAGAGGGACGGAGCTCGGGTGTAGAGCTCATGTTATGTACACGCACATGAATGACATAATTAACAAGATAAATAAACAGGAATGAATAATAACACATATATACAAAAATGGTTCAATTTTATTAGGCTTTCGGATAACACAAATTATTTGCTAGCCTGACTCTCAAAGTCCCCAGTGGAGTCGCCAAGCTGTCATAACGTCTAGATCCGAGGATCTATCGCTAGACATTGACTTTAGGGAGTCGCCACCAATCTTTTTTTATCTAGGTGCGATTGGCCACCTAAGGAATCTGTCCTTTCAGGGAACACTTAATTTTAAGGGTCCTTAAAAGAATAGGTTCAGGTCTGTTAATCAGAACAGAGTTTAGGAGTTCGGTTACGTGTGAGGAAGGTTATAGCACCCTCATAACGCCCATCAAAAGATGGTACCAGCATAATTTGTGTTATCCAAAAGCGTTAAAATTTTACCAAGTAATTAATTATTGGAAATTTTTCTCAATTGACTCTAATACTTTTAGCAGAAAATTGAAAAAATTCCCTCACCTCAAGAGTATACAAGAAAAACTACTGTTTCACTTGCAGAGGCTCCGTCGTCGGATTAATTAAAGAAAAATCAAAATCAAAATCAAAATCAAAATAGAAAGTAAGGAAAGAATGATTGTTCTTGTGTAGGGAAAATTGATACTTTCAACTTTTCTTCGAAAATATTTTTTTGGAAATTTATTCTTAGGGAAAATTGATACTTTCAACTTTTCCTCAAAAATCTATTTTTTGAAAATTTATTTTTAAGGAAAATTGATACTTTCAACTTTTCCTCAAAAATATTTTTTTTTGAAACTTTGATTTCCAAGAAAAAATTGATACTTTCAACTTTTCCTCAAAAATCCCTTTTTGAAAATTTATTTCTAAGAAAAATTGATACTTTCAACTTTTCCCTAAAAATATTTTTTTGGAGATTTTGATTTTTATTTAAAGAAAATAGAATAATAATAAATAAAAATAAAAAATAAAGAAAAGTAAAACAAAAAATAAAAATAAAATAAAGATAAAAAGAATATTAAATAAACCTAATCTAATAAATAAAAAAAACAAATAAACAAATAAATGAAAATAAAAAAAAATTAAAAAAAAAAAAAACCTGGAGCGGCTCGGATCGCGGCTCGGCTCGGCTCGGCTCAAGGAAGAAAAAACAGCTCGGAGAAGCCGCTTGGGAGCTCGGCTCGGCTCTGCTTGGCTAGGAGGGAAAAAGGCACGCGCGGGTCAGGAAGTGGGTCGACGCTCGGGTCGGGTCGGATCTCGGTAAAACGTGCGGATCCTCTAGGTTACTTAAGGCCAAAACGACGTCATTTTGAGAGGGTATAAAATGTACTTTCCTCTATTTTTCGGTAGAACGCTCCTCCCCTCTCTCTCTCTCTCTTCTTCTTTTTTTCCTCTCCTTTCTCTCTAAAAGCTGAAGAACACAGGTGAAATTTTCGTCGGATTCTGAAAAATGTCACCGAAATCTGGAAATTTCATCGGAGGTTCACCGGAAGTTGGCCGGAAGATCACCGGTTTCTGAGATTCTTCGTCGAAAACTGGGCAGGTCACCGGAAACTTCAAGGTTGGCCGAAATTTTCGTCGAAAAATTCAAACTTCGCCGAAAAATTCAACCGAAATATGGAATTTTCCATAAATTCCCAGAAAAAAATTTTGAAAAATTCCCAAAAATTTTTTTGATGATTCCTAGAACTTTCATAAACCTTTTTTTAGCCTTTTATACTCTTCTCTATGCCTTTTCCTCTCAAATCAGTAGCTCTGGCTCCCTGTTTTCTTCTCTGTTTAGCATATGTTCTAGGAGGTCCCTTTTATAGGGATTGATCAAGAGTTCCTGATCAATCCCAATCTACTAGGGATTCAATCTTTGAGTCCAATGACTTTCTGTTGAATTCTTCACAATAGGATTCTTCAACTCATTGCCTACAAATCATAAAAAATATATAATCAATTTAATAAAAGGAAAACCATAATAATCTAGAAATAAAAAGATCGATACAATTAACAGATAATTTAAAAATAAAAGAAACAACTTCTAAAATATATTACAAAAATAAAAAAATAAAAAAATTAATATAAATAATATACTAATTATAATATCTATCTGAATTTAAAAATTAAAAATCCAGATATACAAAAGAAAAAGAAAAAAAATACGGATAAACTTCAATTGCCTAACCCATATGCCAGCCAATATTTTTTAGATTTTGGTGTCTACACTAAGAAGAGAGCATTGGAATCTAGCTAAGTGGATTATAAGATATCTACGAGATACTTTTGACTTGAGACTCACTTTTAAAAATGAAAAACCAATGCTAGTTGGCTACAATGATTCATAGATGGCATGAGATGTGGATTCTTGAAAGTCCACTTTGGATTATTTGATTACATTCTTAGGTGGGGTTGTATCTTGGCTATCGAGACTATACAAATGTGTTGCACTTTCTACAACAGAGGCAAAAGATGTTATAGCCACTGAAGCATGTAAGGAGTTGTTATGGATGAAAATAGGAACTCAGTTTCAAGCAGTAACATTATGTGATATTTTATGACAATCAAAGTGCAATTCACATTGGTAAGAATTCTACTTTTCATTTAAGATCAAAGTACATTGATGTGAAGTACCATTGGTTAAGAGATGCTTTCAATGACAACTTGTTTGAACTTGAAAAGATTCACACCAATCACGATGGTTTTGATATATTAACAAAGATACTACCAAGAGAGAAGCTTGAAGTTTGTTGTTCGATCATTGGAATAGCGATTCCCTCCACATAGTTGAAAAGTGGGAGATTTGTTGGACTTGGTTTCCTCCACGTGGAGGTGGCCTAAAACTAAAGCCTATTCATTAATGACTTTTTAGTCTTTTCATGCATGATTATAGGGTTTTAAACCTTTATATAATAATATCATATGGCTGGAAAAGAGACGAGAGGTGTGGTAGCAAAATAAGAAAAAAAAAAAGAGAAAAAGGGTGTTTGTGTAATTTCGATCAAATGATTTCATCGATGTTAATTTGTAGTTTGATTGAATTGAAATTTTATTAATATGTTTGCAACTCATTGTTAAAATGACTATCATAAAACAAAATTTACTTATATTGTTTTATGATAGTTATTTTAATTTAATTTATGATAATTTTGATACATAATTTTTATTCTGAGTCATTTGCTTCTATCACAATGAAGTTAAATCAAAATAATTTAAGAAAAAAAATCATTACAATTTATAATCCAAAATTCAATCTCACGGTAGAAACTTTTTTCCTATTTAATTTATATCAACAGTATAAAACAATCATGCAATACATACATCTTTTTCCCACATATTCTTATAGCTTTTCATATGGTGGATGCTCACTGCTCAGCACATGACTTCCACATACATAGAAGAGAGATAATTATAATCAACTTCAAAACTCAAATGAATTGAAACTATATATATATACATACATATATATACAAATATACATACATACATACATATATATATATATATATAATTTCAACATGACTCTTTTTTCTTTCTGCTATTCAAAAACATATTTTCTTCAAAATCTTGACATAAAAAATCTTCGATTTTCTGTTCAGATCCCAAAACAAATTCCCCCACAAAACTTACAACTTGCAAATAATAGCACAACTTGAAACTTCATGGCCGGTTTTCTCCACAAAAATCTATCATTTCTTTGTATTTTTCTCTGTTAGAATCACATCATCTGGCATAAACAGGCTCCTCAGCTATGGTTTCAAGCAATGGTTTCTTAGACCTTGACATAGATAATCTATGCATGAACTCTGGAGTTGAAAACTCTTCAATATCATCCAAGTTAAGTTTCGGCATTGCCTTTTTCTCCTCTCTTTCCGATGAAACATCCCGCCAATCAGCCTCTTCAGCAGCTTCTGGCAAGATCCTTACCTTTCCACCAAAACCCTTTCTAGCAGCCGAATTTGCAGCAATAAACAAAGCTCCCATGTCAGCTGCAGTGACCGTAGAGTGCACTCTCTTCATTGGAAACATGATGTAAACGTTGGCGAACTCTAAATCTTCATCTGCGTTGAGAGGAGAAAACCCGCGGCCGAGCTTGAGGGATTGAGAGTTTACCAGGAAGAAGTTTGGTGTTTCAAGCATTAACTCAGCGGCTTTGATGGGTTCATTGAATCGCCTGATTTCACCGCTTGGGAGAATCACTGTCGTTGATTTTGATGATTTCCCTAATGGGGTTGACAAAGTACAAGAAACGTAGTTCCCCATATTGATTCTAATGGCTATTCCTCTTTGTCTCGTATTGCTCCAATTTTATCCGATGTTCCTGCTATTTTTGTTAGAGAAAAAGAAGAGAAATTAAAAGAAATGGGATTTTTGATGAAAGATTGGAAGGAATCTCTTCGGGATTAGAGAAAAGGGCTCTGTCCACTTTGGTAGGTGATGGGGATGGAATTTGTTGAGAGCAGTTGATACATTTATAAAGGTAAAATGGAAAAGGTCATAAATATTAAAAGCTGAAATTGGATTGGAAGATTCTTCGGAGAATGAGGAGCACTTGTTTGTGCGAGGGGGAAATGGTTTACAATTAGATATTGAGTGGCAAAGTTCCGCGTCAAGGAAAAGGGGCGGAAGCTACAAATTTCAAGCTGTTGGAATTATTCTATAGTTTTATTCTTTTAATGTGAACTCAAATCTTCTCTGTTAAAATGCGCGTGGACCCCTTTGCCTTTGTTCTTGTTGTTGGAAATTTTCAGATTTCTTGAGAGATTGAAGTTATGACTTTTGACATGACCTTTTTTTTAAAGGATAAATAAAATATAATTTCATTATTGCAAAAAAGTACAAAGATAATAACAAGAGGAAAAGTCGTCCTTTACAATACAAAGCAAATCTGGTGGAGGTCAAGTCGATCAATTAATGACAAAGGTTGGTTCTCACGGAGGGCAAGTTCATGAAATCTTTCCATAAGTATATATGGTTTTTTCCATTTATTTTGAGTTTTTTTTTTTTTGCAATTATTAAAGATTTTCTCAAATGGATATATCACAAATTTGTTGCACCTAAAATTATATATTCATGAATTGGGCAAATCTAGTAGGATTGTTATCTTAAAAATTGAGTCATGATTTGAGTGTGAATTGATTTATCCATTCATGTTATGTTTATTATTACGAGATTAAAAATATTTCTATATTAATATTTTAATAAATTTTAATATATTTATAATTAAAAATAAATAAATATATACTATTTATTAATATATATAAAATTTCCGAGCCAAATCAAAATTTGAACATAAATTTTTAAGTCCAAATTCGTGCAACTTATGAACACCTTTATTTGCACATTTTCTTACCTCTATCCTCAAAAGTATTCAAATATTAAGTTACATATTAAAAGCTGAAGAAGTTGCATCATCAATTAATTCAATATTATAGACTTGAAATGAACTTCTTGGCAACTCGATCAATACCCCCCTAAAGAACGAATTAAAATACGAACAATTTTTTTCCTCTAAAAAAATGGAAAAAAATGGTTTATCTATAAGTTTGGATTAATTGACTTAAATTCAAAGATAAGGGATCATACATACCATAATTTACTCATGCAAGCAATGGATAAGCATGTGAAGCTTAGTATTGACTTCTAATGAATAGTCAACGACTGGGCATGACATTATTTAAGTAGTTTAGTGAATTTTGTTTTGGTATAGAAGGATGCCGGTGGCGGTGTCGGTTGCCTATTGTTCACGTTCAAATCATTCAATCGCAGCTCATCATATTCATATGCGTATCATCTCTGCATCACGGGATTTTTGATACCTCATTTTCAAGTAACTTCCTTATTCATTTCCCTTTATTGTTAACTTTTATTTATTTGGACCTTACATTATTATATAATACTAATTAAATTTTTTTAATTAGTGATATAATAATTAATAGTTTTACATTCAATCGTTCTTTAAATTTATTAAAGTGATATTATTTCACATATTTTGAAATTTAAATTTCTTATAATTTTATATTTAAATTTGACTTCTCCATTTATGTCCCATTTGTTTTAAATATGATGTTTATCATAATATTAGATGCTTAAATTCTGTTTTATTATTCTTGCTTTATATCCCTTTTGATATTATCACGTGTAGTTACACCTACATGAGATGATAGCTTGTTAAAATAAAATTATCTCACATTTATTATATCTTAAAGTTTATGTGATTTTACATTTAAATTAAATCTCCTCAGTTTGATTAATTAAGTTGGATGCTTAAGAAAGCTTACTATATATATTAATTGTTGTATCCTTAATTATAACAATTTTGAGAGTTTAAATCAATTCATCTTATGATAAACATTTCTTTAAAGAATATGATCTTAAAATACTTGACGATGAAGTTTTTAATCAAGTGATATGAAAAATATTCACATTCACTTTATCTGTGAGGTGAGTTCTAATATTATAGCAATCATTCATAGAGGAGAAATGGCTTACAAATTACAAGATAAAGATAGAAAAATGATAGGCTAGAAAAAGATAAAGAATAGCTTTTTTTTTTTTTTTATTCAAATGAGGGCAAATGCCCATACAAAGGAAAAGGACATGGCGGGATTAGAACCCACCCACGTGTCTTTCTTAAAGCTTCTTAACTATTAAACCAAGAGGCGAAAGACGAGATGAAGAATAGCTTAGCATTTTAAAAAAAGCCCAAATGCCTAATTTAAAATTTAATATTTGATTATTTTTTAATTAAAATTATCATCTTTAAATTGATTCTTTCAAAAATTAAAAATTTTTGAATGTGCCCAAAACAAAACTTTTGAATGATAGTGATTTATACGTGTCGTTAGGTCCAATATCTATTATATCGAGCAATTAACTTCTGCTTTTTAACCATGTACTAAATCTACAAAAAAGAAGAAAAAAAATCTTAATTTATATAATTCCTTCATGTTAACTAGGAAAGTTTCGAACAACTCGAGTTTTTAAGTGTTTTAAAATAGAAAAAACACTGGTTCCAAAAATTCAAACAAAAATCAAACCATAATCGCCTACAAGTGACTAACACAAGCAGGATTACTATAATTCAATTAATGCTAAAACCTTAGCTTGAGCCTTTTATCACTATCAAATAAATAAATAAATAAATAAAAGCACACAAAAGAACTCTTTAGTTATTATTGAGAGTCGAGAATTCAAACCTAAGAAAGTGGTGATGATTTCATACCCAAACTTCACATATTGCTTGCACCTGCCTTACATCTACGTAAATAGCTGAATAACAAAAATGAAATAAAATGCTAAGAAATTCAGGAGCCCTAGTAGTGAGAATGACCTTGGTAGTCAGGGAGAGCCCCAACAGGGTAGAGTGCTTTAAAAATAAACTTAAGGGATTCAAGAGTTGATGACCGATCCAGATTTTATATCGATCTTGGTGGCCTTGAAATTTGAATCACAACAGTTGGAAGGAATAATGAGGAGTGTCCAATAATGAGTAGTTAAGTCAACTCGGTCTTGAGTCGATGGTGGCCATGTTTCTAGGACTTTTGACCTGGAACTTGCATTTAACCAAGTTCGTCGGATTCGTCTTCTGAAACTGAAATTGAGATGCTGTTGGTAGTGAAGAATAAAGATGACATTATCGAGGAACATGGATTAGAAAAAATATAGAGAATTGAATTGAAAGAATGGAAAATAATGTTTATGGTCAATGTTCGAAATTGAGATTTTAAGTATAAGGTTTTCGCTTTGAAATTTCATGATGTTAAAGTCTGGAATAATAAGATTCTTAGAACTGGAAAAGCAACACTGACGCCTGTGATGGCAAGCGGCGAAGCGACAAACTTAGAGAGAGAAGTGAGGTTAGGGTGAGAGTCGGCTATGAGATTGGAAGAGGAAAGAAGAGAGTTAGGATTAGAGTTTTTTACCTCTTATCACCAATATTTTAAGATATCACACGATTATCCCACGCGTATTATTCATTTTCGGAAGCGTAATTAAGTTTAAGTATCAGAATCTGTCCATTACATGTAAAAAATAAAATTGTCATAAATTTTATTTATTTAAATGTGATGAGTTATTTATGTAAATTTATTTTTTTAAATTATCTTAAACTTATTTAAATATTCTTAAAAAGATTATGTTTTAATCTATATCAATAGAATTAATAAAGTTAACAAAAATATTTTTTATTTAGATATTCAATCACTTATGTGAATTTATTTTTTAAAAATTATTTTAAATTTGATTTAAAGTCTTTAAAAAAATAGGTTTTAGTGTATATAATAGAATTAAGTTTCGAAATTAGTCATATGCAAAAAAATTTTTAACACTCCTATGATACCCCCAAATTAATATCAAATTAATTTATATTATCTTATCTAAGTTTTAATAAAAATTAAATTAGTTTTTATTAATTTTGATATTTAAATGTTGAAATTTTTTTTAAAGTTTCACAAAATTTTTTTTTGTAATTTTAAGAGTATTTAAAAAAATTACTTACTTAAATAAGTTTTGTTGTCGAATTTATTAAATATCTTATGACAAAAACAAATTATTTATAACTCATTTTATTCTTTACAAATTAATTTTAAAATAAATGTACAAAATAATTATACAAACATATTAATATTTACAATTTCTAAATTCACAACATCAAAATATATATCTTTTAAACTTTTTTCATTATCATTTTTTAGAAATTGAATCCTATATTCTAGACTAACAAAATAATTAAAAAATAGAATAAATAAAAATTAAAAAATAAAAAGCCATTAAAAATAAAAAACAAATTAAATTAAAATTAAAAACCTGGTCAACAAAAGTAAAAAAAAGTGGGTCGGGTCTTTCTCGGGCACCCGCGATATTAAAGTGGGTCAAGCTTGAAATTTGTTTTTGTCATACTCAAACGGCACAGTTTTGATTTTAACATAAAAACAAAAAATTTTCAATTTTCGTCATTTTCTTTTCATTCCTTCCCTCCTTAGCTTTCGAACTCTCCTTCTATCTAGAGTTTCTTCCCCAATCCCAGCAAATGAAAAATACAAAAACCACCCAATACCGCCGCCTGCTCCTTCCCTTGCTCCGTGTGGTACCGTTCCTCTGTTTCCCTTATCTGCCCGAAGCCTCAGCCACCTCTCCTTAGTTTAGCCGGAAACGGACCTTAAAATCGAAAGTTTCAGCATCTATTCACTTTACCACAAAGGCGCTGTTGGGAACGACTCTAGAAACCTTCAAAAAATTTCCTTCACCGATCGAGGCCCCGA